CGCCTCGGCCGTCTTCGCTGCCTTCACAGCCTGGTGCTGTGGACTCTGGAGCTGAGACCGCTGGTGCTGAGTCTGAGGGTGCTGAGACAGAGGGTGAGGATTCTGGGGGTGCTGCAGCTGGGGGTGCTGCGACTAAGGGTGCTGGTTCTCGGGGTGCAGCGATTGGGGGTGCTGACTCTGGGGGTGCTGCGAGTCCTAGTGGCGGTGGAGCTGTGGGTGACCCTGCTGGAGGTCCTGGAGCTGGACAGCCACTGCAATCTGATCTACTTGAGATGCTCTCGCCACAGGCGATTCGTGCGTGGATCGTTCGGCGAGTCAGTCCTGGTGGTGGAGGGTACGGTCCTGCTGGTGCTGGAGGTACTGCTGGTGCTGGAGGTACTGCTGGTGCTGGAGGTGCTGGAGGTACTCCTGGAGGTAGTGCTGGTGCTGGAGGTGCTGGAGGTACTGCTGGAGGTGCTGCTGGTGCTGGAGGCGCTGGAGGTGCTACTGGTGCTGAAGGCGCTGGAGCTGGACGTGCTGGAGGTGCTGGAGCTACTGGTCCTGGAGGTGCTCGTACTAGAGGTGCTGGAGCTGCCGGAGCAGGTGGTGCTGCTGGTGCCGGAGGTGATGGAGGTGCTAATGGAGCTGCTGGCACTGGAGTTGTTGGAGGTACTGCTGGTGCTGGAGGCGCTAGAGCTGGAGGTACTAGAGGTGCTGGAGCTGCTGATCATGGAGGTGCTCGTACTAGAGGTGCTGGAGCTTCCGGAGCAGGTGGTGCTTCTGGGGCTGGAGGTGCTGGAGGTGCTACTGGAGCTGCTGGCACTAGAGGTGCTAGAGGTACTGCTGGTGCCGGAGGCACTGGAGCTGGAGATACTGGAGGTACTGGAGGTGCTCGTACTAGAGGTGCTAGAGCTGCCGGAGCAAGTGGTGCTGCTAGTGATGGAGCTGCTGGAGGTGCTACTGGAGCTGCTGACACTGGAGGTGCTGGAGGTACTGCCGGTGCTAGAGGTGTTGGCGCTGCCGGAGCTCGTGGTGCTGCTGGTGCTGGAGGTGCTACTAGAGCTGCTGGTGCTGGAGGTGCTGGTGCTACTGGTGCTGGAGGAGCTGGAGCTGCTGGTATTGCCCTGCACCAACCGTTTTTCTACCCGCAGCCGCAGACGTCCCTGTCGTCGCCTGACTCGGTCCTTCACCAGGTTCTTAGTCTCCCATCTTCCACTGGCCTCACTCCACCTCTCCTATGTCCACCGACAGACCAGTCTCAGCCACAGCTTCTACCTGGCTCCCCGCTGCCTGCTCCTGCTCCTCACACTGAGGTGACTCAGTCCCTGACTGAGCGTCGTGTGCCTGAGACTCGTGCTTCCACACCTGTTCGTGCTCGTCGTGTCGCTTGTCCTCGTCCTCCTGCTGTCCAAGGTACTCACGTTATGGAACTTCGTCCTTCCTCTGTTCCACAGCGTGTTGTCTTGCCTGAGCCTCCCGCGTCCTCTCTTCCGCACGTTCCTGACCCTGAGTCCGACCTTGCTCGTGCTGCCGGTCCTACTGTCACTCGTCTCCTCGCTACTGTCGTCACTGACCCTGACTTTGAGTCTACTGCTGCGTTTTCCCTAGTCACTAAGCTAGTCGACTTCGCAGCTAGGAGTCGTCTCGACTACGTCGCGACCCGTGTTACTGGGTCGGAGTCTGTCTGTCCTCCATCCGTCAGGGGTGAGCCTGCCCTTAGCAGTGACGTCCTTGAGGACAGGCAGTTTGAGCTTGAGTTTCTTGCGGCCGCTTTACCTCGTTTCGCATCCATACTGCTTTGCCCTGAGGGAGACCCGGATGCACTTGACATCCCTACCCCGCGCTCTTACGCTGAGACAATCGCGGGTGAGTACTCCTCTCAGTGGCAGACAACCATGGATGCAGAGATGGCTTCCTCGAAGTCCACAGGCACCTACGTTGACGAGGTTCCTCCTCCTGGGGCGAACATAGTCGATAGCATGTGGATTTTCAGAGTGAAGCGGCCGCTGGGTTCTCCACCTGCCTACGAGGCGTGTTACGTTGCTCGAGGCTTCAGTCAGCGACTTCTTCCATACCTTCTCCCCCACCCCGAAGATGACTACTCTTCGGGTGCTACTGCACGTTGCAGCACAGCGTGACTACGAGCTGCACTCCCTCGACTTCTCCACAACTTTCTTGCAGGGCACCCTTCACGAGGAGATCTGGCTGCACCGCCCACCTGGCTTCACTGGGTCGTTTCCTGCGGGTAACCAGTGGAGCTTCCGGCGGCCAGTCTACGGTCTCCGCCAGGCGCCTCGCGAGTGGCACGACACACTGAGGACTACACTTGCGGCTCTTGGGTTTGCTCCTTCCTCTGCTGACCTGTCGTTGTTTCAACGCACCGACACTACCATGCCGCCGTTCTAAGTTATCGTGTACGCCTACGACCTGGTTTTTGCTACTGCTGACAGTGAGGCGCTGGCCCTACTGAAGGCGGAGCTGCAGGAGACACACACCTGCACTGACCTGGGTGAGCTGCGTAGCTATCTTGGCTTGCAGATCACCCGGGACAGAGCACGGCGCACCATCACCCTGACTCGGTCTCACATGGTGCACCAGGTCCTTCGGCGCTTCGGCTTCCAGTACTCCTTGCCACAGCCCAATCCTCTGTCTACCGGCCACTCGCTCTCAGCTCCACCTTCGGACGAGTCCGTAGAGCCAAATGGTCCGTACCCAGAGCTTGTGGGTTGCCTCATGTACCTGATGACGTGCACACGACCTGACCTCACGTACCCTCTTAGCCTCCTGGCTTGCTACGTGGCTCCCGGTACACACTGAAAGGTGCACTTTGATGCTGCGAAGAGGGTACTGCGTTACTTTTGCAGTACATCAGGCATGGGGCTTGTGCTTGGAGGACATGGTTCAATGGTAATCACAGGACACTCCGACGCTTTTTGTGCCGACGACCAGGCAACTCAGCGTTCGTCACAGGGTTACACATTCAGTTTTGGCTTTGGTACTGTCTCGTGGAGGTCCAATCGTTCTTCTTCTGTGCTTAATTCCATCTGTGAGGCCGAGATCTACGCTGGGGCCATGGCTGCACAGGAGCTACGCTGGCTGACCGACTTGCTGACCGACTTGGGGGAGCGGCCTCGTTCTGCTCCAGTTCTGTACGTCGACAACACGACCATGCTTGCCTTGTGTCGGGAGCAGAGACTGGAGCACAGAACGAAGCACATTGCTCTTCGCTACTTTCTTGCTCGAGAGCTGCAGCAGTGTGGTCAGCTTCGCCTTTCTTACGTGACCTCTCGGGCCAACACTGCTGATGTCTTCACCAAGACCCTCGGGTCTGGTGATCTTTAGCGTTTTTGCACTGCTCTTGGTCTTCTGTTTGTTCTACTTCACCTACTTGTCTCTTGATCTTGCACTTGTTGTATACTGATATCTACATTTATACCTGCATGTTTCCTCTTGCTAGGTTGTGATCAGTGTACTGTCTTGCTATTATACCTCTGCATGTGAACTGGCCTTGTGGCCGCTTGCTTGTGCTCGGATTGTGTGGTGTCCTTGAGATCCACCCTGAGATTTGCTTTGCTTTGCTTTGTTGTCTTGCTTGACTGGTCTTGTGACCGTCTTGTTGTCCCCCACTTAGCCTATGGGGGTGTGTCAAAGTACAATCTCACTTGTAGTCTATAGTGGGGCACTCTTTATGGGGTACAGCATTTCTAGGGTTATTACTTGTACCCCAACTCTTGCTAATCTAATCATTCTTGCAAAGTTATTCTGACAGGAACCCAAGAAAGGGACAAGGGTAACGCAAGGGAACCCTAGAGGGGGATCCAGGGTAACCCAACCCAAGGGAACCCTTGGGTACCCAAGGGAACCACGAAGGGAACCCACAAAGGATTGATGTGCTTTCTAAGCATTTCAAAAAAAAAAAATAGCCGAAATCATAGGCGCCGAACGTTTCTTTGAGCACGAACCAAGCTGAAAAGGCTCTAGTAGGTGTATTCGAACATGGATCCACTCGAATATGCAATGACATTCAGGTTGTTCAATGCTTTTCCCTACGCCTATTGGGATTCCTACGCTTTCTTAGCATTTTTCGGCAAAAACAACCGAAATCATAGGCGCCGAACTATTCTTAGCGCACGAACTAAGCCAAAAAGGCTCTAATATGTGTATTTTAACACGATCCACTCGAATATGTAATAACATTCTGGATGTCGAATGCTTTTCCCTACGCCAAATGAGATTCATGCGCTTTCTAAGCATTTTTCGGAAAAAAAAAACTGCCGAAATCATACGCGCCGAACTTTTCTATGCGCACGAACCAAGTTGAAGATTTTCTAATAAGTGTATTTGAGCATGAGCCAATCGAATATGCAATGACTGTTAAATTCATAGGAGCCATGGCTAGGGTGTGATAGCTAGGCAAGTGTCGAGAGAGTTGAGATAGCAAGGAAGAAGTGGTTCAGTAAGAAAGCAAGGTACAAGATATAGGAGCGAGAGATGGCAAAGGGTGCACCACCTATAGGGACTATAACAGTAACTAGACTACAGCTATAACTATATGCAGTTATACAAAAATATATATATAATATATTCTGACACACCCCCTAACTGCATGCAGGAATAGCCATGTGCAGAACACCCCATGAAGGGGAACACCCTGCGCAGCGGAAGAAGGAGAGGGCAAATGAGGAGGAGGCGGCTGATGCTGCAGCTGGACTCACAGCACCCCCTCAACCTCCCCCCGCACAGCAGCAGCAGCAGCAGTGAGGAGAGAGAGGAGGAGGCGTGGCGGGAGTTGCTGCAGCTGTGTCACCCACCACCCACATCCCCTGAGCCTCCCCACCACTTCACACTCCCCCCCACAGCAGCAGGTGCGGCTGGGAGAGAGAGGAGGCAGGCTGGCACTGTAGGTGCAACCTCCCCCTCACACCCTCCTCTCCCCTCCCCCCCCCTCCCACCCAAACTGCTGCACGTGCAGCAGGGAGAGGGAGGAGAAGGGGGGGGGGGGGGGGGGGTAGGGGCTGTGCATGGGGCTGCAGATGCGCGTGCAGAGGGCAGCAGGGCGCACGGGGCGCACAAGTCCGCAGGGCGCGCGGGGCGCGCAGGACAGCAGGGCGCGCGTGGCGCGCAGGGCTGCAGGGCGCGCGGGGCGCGCAGGGCAGCAGGACAGCAGGGCACGCGGGGCGCGCAGGACAGCAGGGCGCGCGGGGCGCACAGGGCTGCAGGGCAGCAGGGTGCGCGGGGCGCACAGGGCAGCAGGGCAGCAAGGCACGTGGGGCGCACAGGGCTGCAGGGCAGTGGGGTGCGCGGGGCGCACAGGGCTGCAGGGCGCGCGGGGCGCGCAGGACAGCAGGGCGCGCAGGAAAGCAGGGCGCGCGGGGCGCGCAGGGCTGCAGGGCGCGCGGGGCGCACAGGGCAGCAGGGCAGCAGGGCACGCGGGGCGAACAGGGCTGCAGGGCACGCGGGGCGAACAGGGCTGCAGGGCAGCAGGGTGCGCGGGGCGCACAAGGCTGCAGGGCGTGCGAGGCGCGCAGGACAGCAGGGCACGCGTGGCGCGCAGGGCTGCAGGGCGCGCAAGGCAGCAGGACAGCAGGGCGCGCGGGGCGCGCTGGGCTGCAGGGCGCACGGGGCGCACAGGGCAGCAGGGCAGCAGGGCACGCGGGGCGAACAGGGCTGCAGGGCAGCAGGGCGCGCGGGGCGCACAGGGCTGCAGGGCGCGCGGGGCGCGCAGGGCAGCAGGACAGCAAGGCGCGCGGGGCGCGCAGGGCTGCAGGGCGCACGGGGCGCATAGGGCAGCAGGGCAGCAGGGCGCACAGGGCTGCAGATCCCCTCCCCCCCACTGCTGCACCCGCAGCAGGGGGATGGAGGAGAAGTGGGGGGCGGGGCGGGGGGCTGGTGCTGCAGATCCCCTCCCCCCCACTGCTGCACTTGCAGCAGGGGAATGGAGGAGAAAAGGGGGGGGGGGGGGGGGGCTGGTGCTGCAGATCCCCTCCCCCCACTGCTGCACCCGCAGCAGAGGGATGGAGGAGAGGGCCGCCACCCCCTTAACCTCGAAGCTCCCCCCCCCCTCCCAACACAAGGTGCGGCAGGGAGAGAGAGAGGAGGAGGTGGTGGGTGGCTGGTGTTGCAGAAACCCCTCCTGCCACCCCCTAGGTCAGCCACCCCCCGGAACCGCACCCCTCTTGCCACCCCCTCACCCTCCATGATCCGCGCCCCCAACTCCCTTCCCTCCTCCCCCCCCCCCCCCCCCCCTTCTTTTCTGCTGCACGCGCAGCAGGGAGAGGGAGAACGAAGTTGGGGGGGGGGGCGGGTCCTCGGGCGACGAGGCAAGGGGCGACGAGGCAAGGGGCGACGAGGCCGCGGGCGACAGGTCCTCGGGCGACGTGGTCGCGGGAGACAGAGCCGCAGGCGACGGCGCCTTGGGCGACGAGTCCGCGGGCGACGGGGCTGGCAACGGGCAGCGGTTGCTGGCATTCGCTAACTCGCTGGTGGGTCTAGGGGCGATGGGTGACGGGCCGGGCCTAGGGGAGATTGGGCCGAGGGGCGACGGGCCTAGGGGCAACGGGGCCGGGGCCTAGGGGCAACGATGCCGACGGGCCTAGGGGCGGCGGGCGCGACGGGCGACGAGCCGGAACCGGGGCCTAGGGGCGTCGGGCGCGAGCGACGGGGCCGAGGGGCCGTGGTCGACGGGGGGCCGCGGGGCGTAGGGCCGTGCCTAGGGGAGCGACGGGCGCGAGCGACGGGCCAGGGGGGCCGGAGCCTAAGGGCGACGGGCCTAGGGGCTACGCGCGACGGGCGACGGGCCGGGACCGAGGCCTAGGGGCGACGGGGCCGAGGGGCGACGGGCCTAGGGGCGACGGGGCCGGGGCCTAGGGGCGACGGGCACGAGCGACGGGCTGGGGCCTAATGTCAAAAAAAGGGCCACACGAGGGTGGCGCGTAGGACAGCAGGTGGTGGGCCCAAAGAGAGTAGGTCCTCAGGTTAGAACCAGCTCTTAATACCGTGTTAAATTCATAGGAGCCATGGCTAGGGTGTGATAGCTAGGCAAGTGTCGAGAGAGTTGAGATAGCAAGGAAGAAGGGGTTCACTAAGAAAGCAAGGTACAAGATATAGGAGCGAGAGATGGCAAAGGGTGCACCACCTACAGGGACTAAAAAAGTAACTACACTTCAGCTATAACTATATGCGGTTATACAAAAGTATATATAATATATTCTGACACACCCCCTAATTGCATGCAGGAATAGCCATGTGCAGAACACCCCCTGAAAGGGTAAAACCTGCGCAGCGGAAGAAGGAGAGGGCAAATGAGGAGGAGGCGGCTGATGCTGCAGCTAGACTAACACCACCCCCTCAACCTCCCCCCACTCGCAGCAGCAGCGGCAGTGAGGAGAGAGAGGAGGAGGCGTGGCGACATTTGCGGCAGTTGTGTCACCCACCACCCACATCTCCTGAGCCTCCCCACCACATCGGTGAGGGGTTCCTGTCCAGGAACTCGGCTGGGAGGGCCGAGCGGTAGCGAGTGTCGCTAGTGCGAAGGTGGGTAACCAGGTCCTCGACTGTGGCAAAGGCTGACAGCTCGGAAAACAGGTGGGGCAGTATAGGGCGGCCAAGAGCAGCAGTGGCAGGGGAGGAGTAACGAGTGACTACAACGTTGTACAAGGCCTTGGCAGTCTTGTGTTGGCCAAAGTGAGCGCGTTCGGCTAACGGCAGGTGGTTGCGAACGGCTAAGCGAGCAGCAGCGTCACGGGTAAGCCACTGTGAGCGAGTCGCACTGTCAGCTATGGTGGGAGGGGCGAGAGAGGCTCCAGAAGTGTGGTCAAACAACGAAACGCTGCCTCTAGAATCGCTCAGTAGGTACAGCTGTAAGTCGTCGAGCCACGTATCGAACTGTATCGGACGGCCCTCATGATCGAATGTGAGTACACTGAGAGAAGCCATAGCGGGCAGAGCAGGATGGCGTGCGACCAGCAGGGCAGCACGCAGGCAGGGCGGCGCGCGAGCACTAGGTAAGCGCGCAGGGCAGGGAGAAGCGGTGCACGGCTAGGGAAGAGTAGTGCGCGGCCAGGGCAGGGCAGGGCGGTGGCCAGCAGGGCGGCGCGTGGGCAGGGCAGGGCGGTGCGGCTGCCAACAGGGCGGCGCGCAGCAGGGCGGCGCACAGCAGGGCGGGCAGCAGCAGGGCGGCGCACGCAGGGCGGTGCGAGCAGCGGTGCGGCTGCCAGCAGGGCTGCGCGCAGCAGGGCGGGCAAAAACAGGGCGGCGCACAGTAGGGCTGTGCGGGCAGCAGGGCGCCGGCCAGCAGGGCGGCGCACAGCACGGCGTCGCGGGCAGGGCGCTGCGGGCAGCGCTGCGGCTGCCAGCAAGGCGGCGCGCGGGCAGCAGGGCGCCGGCCAGCAGGGCTGCGCACAGCAGGGCGGGCAGCAGCAGGGCGGCGTGCAGTAGGGCGGTGCGGGCAGCAGGGCGGCTCAGCGCGGGCAGGGCAGGGCGACGCGAAGGCAGCAATGCGGCGCGCGGGCAGCAGGGCGACGCGACGGCCAGTAGGGCGACGCGACTGACAGGGCAGGGCGACGCGTCAGCACGCAGGGCGACGCGACGGGCAGGGCAGGGTGATGCGACAGCCAGCAGGGCGACGCGACAGGCAGGGCAGGGCGACGCCACTAGTGGGGCAGCGCTCTGTGGTGGGCCCTAAAAAATCCGCCGTAGAACAGGACATGCTCTGAAACCATGTCAGAATACTGAACGAGAATGAATGAACTATGAATGAGTTGGGTACAAGTACTAACCTTAATTGGGTTGAACCTCTTATGGGCTACCCCACTACACCCTACACAATGTAAGCACTATAACATTTTGACAGTCTAATCTGTGTATTTGAACATGATCCACTCGAATGTGCAATGACATTCAGGTTGTTGAATGCTTTTCCCTACGCCTATAGGAATTCATGCGCTTTCTGAGCATTTTTCAGAAAAAAAAAAAAAACAGCCGAAACTATAGGCGCCGAACTTTTCTTTGCGCACGAACCAAGCCAAAAAGGCTCTAATATGTGTATTTGAACATGAGGCACTCGAATATGCAATGACCTTCAGGTTGTTGAATGCTTTTCCCTACAATTTTAGGGATTCACGCTCCAAGAGACACCCGGATAATAGACATCCCGTGTCTTCTATTCAACAGTGTCTTATATTCGGGTGATGACGGTAATAGGTGTATCTGAACATGAGCCACTCGAATATGCAATGACACTTAGGCTATTGAATGTTTTTCTCTACGCCTATAGAGATTCATTTCATGCACTTTCTGGGCATTTTTTTTGGCAAAAACAGCAAAAATCATAGGCGCCGAACTTTTCTTTGCGCACGAACCAAGCCGAAGAGGCTCTAATAGGTGTATTGGAACATGAGCCACTCGAATATGCAATGACATTCAGGTTGTTGAATGCTTTTCGCTATGCCTCTAAGGATTCTTGCGCTTTCTAGTGCGCATTTCAATGCTTCAAGGAATGTAGTGCTAGCACATTGTATGTATGTTTCTTTTTGAAGGTAACACTTCAATAAAATCTTTGTTGTGGCAGATGCAGTATCACGATTCACATACATGGTGGTGGTGGTGGTGGTGGTGGTGGTGGTGGTGCATCAGCCAAGCATCTTTGCCCGTGCGAACAGCACTCCTGCGAAGCACCCTGCGGAAGGAGAGAGGAGAAGGAAGCAGGTGGTGGGGTGGGTGAGGTGATACAGGGGGATGTGAAGAAGGAATCAGAGAGGGGTGCTTGGTGGTGTGAAGCGCAGCTAGCAGTCCAGTGCTTTATTGTGAAAAAATAACGGCGAATTGGTTACTCTGTGCGGGAAGTGGCTAGTAGTCCAGCCTTTTTACTCCATGAGGGGGAGTGGCTCAGTGAAGATAGCAATTAGAGTGCAGGCCAAGTGGGGCACGCACTGCAGAGGATTGAGGGGAAGGGGGGGTGGACGCACTGAAGAGGGTACAGGGGGGGATGGAGAGGGGAGTGGGAATGCAGTGGGAGTGGGGCACGCACCGAAGAGGATTGAGGAGATGTTGGCAGCGTTGGTGGGCGCGTTGAAGAGAATGATATTTAAGACGTCTCAAAAACACCCTCATTTCAAGTGGTGCACGCACCGAAGAGGATTGAGGAGATGTTGGCAGCGTTGGTGGGCGCGTTGAAGAGAATGATCTTTAAGACGTCTCAAAAACACCCTCATTTCAAGTGGGGCGCGCACCGAAGAGGATTGAGGAGATGTTGGCAGCGTTGGTGGGTGCGTTGAAGAGAATGATCTTTAAGTCGTCTCAAAAACACCCTCATTTCAAGTGGGGCACGCACCGAAGAGGATTGAGGAGATGTTGGCAGCGTTGGTGGGCACATTGAAGAGAATGATTATTGAGACGCCTCAAAAACACCCTCATTGCACGTGGGGCACGCACCGAAGAGGATTGAGGAGATGTTGGCAGCGTTGGTGGGCGCATTGAAGAGAATGATGCCGAACAGAGAAAGCGGGATCTTGTTCAGCGACCCCACCAGACTGCCAAGGGGGATGACGGGCACACGGGTTGGCATTGGAGCCACGGGGTTGTGGGGGCAGAGGTTTGTGGGGAAAAGTGTGGGTGAGTTCAGGGTGGGAAGGAGAAAATTTAGGGATTTTGAAGTTCGGGTGAAAGGATGGCATTGATGTGGAAGTGATGGCAAGTGCGCAGCAAGTGGAATATGGGCGCTCTGTGTGCTGTGCAGGTGCATTTGTAAGTGGGGCATGGGCATGGGCATGGGCATGGGCATGGGCATGGGCATGGGCATGGGCATGGGCATGAGCACGGGCATGAGCACGGGCATGGGCATGGGCATGGGATGGGCATGGGCATGGGCATGGGCATGGCACATGGTACTGTGGTGTACCTGTAGGTGGTGTACCTGTAGGTGGTGGGGGAGCCACATGCGGATGGCACCTGTAGCAAGCTGTGCAGTGCGTGCTGTGCAAGGGATATCTACCTGTAGGTGGTGGGCGAGGTCTGGTGGAGGAACCACATGGAGGTGGCTGGTACCTGTAGCAAGCCATACAGTATATGATGTGCCCACGGTACCCGCAGGGTACAGTACATGCTGTGCCCATGGCACCCACCTGTAGGTGGTGGGCGAGGTCTGATGGAGGAACCACATGGAGGTGAAGGAGATGGCGAGACCCAGCAGCCCACTCAGCGTCACCGCCACCCAGAACCCCCCATTCAGCATCAGCGGGCTGTTGTGAGAAGAGGTGGGGAAAGGGTCAGACGGCAAGTAGGCGTGATGAAATAAGCAAGGCGATATGAGATGAGGACAGAGATGCAGACAGCGCGGGTGTGAGGGAAAGGGGGAGTGATGTCTGCTGCCTGCCATGGTTGACGATGTGACAATGTGACATGAGTCATGGCTCGCTTATGAGTGTTCACTCACTGGTTTAAGTTTTAACCCAGAGAATTAGGAAGCAGGCAACTCACGAGTGCAGGAGGTATTTGGTTTCACTGAAGGCGATGATGAGGAGGATGGCGGGTGGGAAGGAGAGCGCGTTGTTGAGCAGCACCATCGTGAACTCTG